CGTAGATATGCCGGTACGGTACCGACCCGTGCTATACCTTACTGTATACTGTACACTACATACAGTCTCTGCAAGTCCCATTACGGTTGCCAGACACTCATGGTTGGTGGCGAAGGGCAGCGGGACTGGTTGCATTTCACCATCCCAACAGGTTGAACAAATGCAGAATGACCCAATTGAAATATTGACACTGTTCGCGACCACATTGGTACAATAACAGGGTCGTGAGAAATCTGTAGTACCGTGCCAACTAGATAAATTACGGTACCCTTGGGTACCCTTGGTACAATATGAATAAGAGTCTGTCTCTGCTAGCCCCTGCGCTCCATAAAACTGATAAAATCGTATCTGCTGAGGGCCCTCAGGGCCAGTCTATACTGTAGCATGGCTCTTTCTGAACTAGCTGGCCAATAATCGTCTCTTCACTTGTCACAATACAGCACCCCCAGTCGTGGCGGCGACTGCCACAACCAGAGTAAACTTTATCGCGTACCACTTCACTCCTCACTCGCTCTTCATCTTACCACATCTCACGATCACACATAAACGACAAAAAAAAGGACGAGTTAGTCTATGTAAAGCCTTACTGTAGTGTTCTGCAGATGAAATGGTCTTCTCTGCCCACTCGTCCTCACTAGACGCTTTTCAGAAAGCCTTTCGCGGTTTTTTGGCGACAGCAGGCACTACCCTTGGTACGTAGTGCCTGTATGGGCAGGGTTGGGTTTACGAATGGTCTTGAAAACGATCCCTCTTTTCGCTGACGCTACACTAAATTTACTGTACTGCCTGAATTTGTGGCGGTATGGGGAGACTGCCTCGGCAAGAATACCTGTCCGCACACTGGGGCAGTACCCAGGGTAACTTACTGTACTGTGGCGTCGTCGCTGCTGCGGAAGGGAAGGAGATTGATTGACTTATGTGTTGTGTGAAGGTATCGCTCTCCAATATAACGTGTCCCCGAGGAGAACCCGTCCCCGACCCTGTCCGTCGCGCACTCAACCCAACTGTGCACAAGTCGCACGGGCGACGCAGGGCGAGTCAGGGGCGCGGCCGGATGACAAGTGGAGATTGCGTAGCCTACTTTCTGTGGAGATTCATATTTTACAGTACCGGTGCCGCACTGTGCAAAGAAGACTCGCATATCAAACACGCGGGCGGGTATGGCACACATCTACGAGCCCCGTTGGCCACAGTTTGCAGAGTTGTTGTCGACAACTGGGGCTCAGGGTTTGAGAATCAATCGGGGGACAAGGGCGACACCAGCTAAGAGTCACACTTGTACAAAAGCGCGGTGCGAAGAGAAAAAGTGCAGAAAAAAAAGGGCAAAAAGTGACGGCTGGCAGAATACCAAAACTCGGGCCAAAAAAGCATCGGTTCCGTGTTTACATTCCTGTTTTTGCTTTATTCTCCTAAAATCCCCGACACGATCGCCCTATCACCATGTCTCATCCGTGACGAGCGTTGCGAGGAAGAAGAAGATTTTTGCCGCTTCCAAGGAAGGGGGGGGGGGGAGGGGCTGCTGCGGGGCCCGGGGTGGCGCGACGTTGATTGGATGATGCGGCGCGGCAGCCTGTGCGCAGGGCGCAGGGGCACAGCGTCTCATAGCGTGGCGAAAAGCGATCTCGCCCTCCAATCACTTGGCGCGCCCCGATCCGGACGGCGTCAACGATTTTCTCCGCTTGCCACGGCGGGAATTCTACAAAAACTCGCCTTCTCGGACCAGCACGTGAGCGAGGCCCCGCGCAGCATTGTCATTGGCGCAACGGACACGGGGCTGAAAATCGGCCCGGAAATCGTCGCCGCAAATGGCGCGGTGGCGGAATGCTCAGCATGGGTGGCCTTGGCCCCCCCCCCCTTACGCGCGCCCCGGGACCGTGGCACAATCGGACCCTGTTCGCTGTCGCGGTCCGCCCGGAGACATGCGGTGGACGAGGCGAAATCACACGAATCAGAAAAAAAGAGGGCATGGTTGAAACGTTCTCCGCATCTCCCAGCCGGCTGAAGACGGTTGGAACGAGGTCAGTCAAAAGATGCCGAAAGGAGCACCTGTAAGACCGGGCGATCCGTTACATACCATTTGCAAGGTGATTACATGCGCGACTTACATGTGCCGCCCACGCGCGCTGTATGGCGGCGCGTGCAATGCAAGGCGGGGTGGAAAGTGGACGTGTCAGGGGGCGGAAATGGGGGCGATGCATGAGGGTACATCAAGGGGAAAAGCAAAAGTGTCCGAACTGGACGCGGAGCGCCGGGCCAAATCACTGGGTGCGCCGCGCCGTGGCCACGTCTTCTTGCGCCCCGCTCGGACCGCCCGTCGCCTCCAACCCGCACCCCGCACCGCTCCGCCGGAACGCCCCCGCACACAACCCTAGCGTCACGCCTCGAAGCCCTCCTTCTCCACCCGTCCTCACTTGACTGCCCCGGTCCCGCACCTCTCAACTGCGCCCTGCGAACCCACGCTTGC